TGAGAGTTTTGGAGTTTGAGAGTTTGAGAGTTTGAGAGTTTGAGAGTTTGAGAGTTTGAGAGTTTGAGAGTTTGAGAGTTTGAGAGTTTGAGAGTTTGAGAGTTTGAGAGTTTGAGAGTTTGAGAGTTTGAGAGTTTGAGAGTTTGAGAGTTTGAGAGTTTGAGAGTTTGAGAGTTTGAGAGTTTGAGAGTTTGAGAGTTTGAGAGTTTGAGAGTTTGAGAGTTTGAGAGTTTGAGAGTTTGAGAGTTTGAGAGTTTGAGAGTTTGAGAGTTTGAGAGTTTGAGAGTTTGAGAGTTTGAGAGTTCGAGAGTTTAAGATTTGAGAATTTGAGAGTTAGAGAGTTTGAGAGTTTGAGAGTTTGAGAGTTTGAGAGTTTGAGAGTTTGAGAGTTGGACATTTGAGAATTTGAGAGTTAGAGAGTTTGTGAGTTCGATAGTTTGAGAGTTCGAGAGTTGGAGGATTTGAAGATTTGAGGAATCGAGAATTTAAAAATTCGAAAATTTAAGAATTCAAGGATTCAAGGATTTAAGAATTTGAAAATTTACAAACTTTAAACCTGAAAATTCAAAACTTTGAAAATTTGAAGCTTTGATAATTTCAAAACTCAGAAATGTGGAATTTTTGAAATATGACAATCTCAGAAAATAAAGTTGTAGAAGTGTCTGAATTTGAAAGTTTAGATGTTCAAGTATATGGAAATTTCGTCTCATAAATCTCTGCATACTACACATGTTCAAATTTACATATTTCTACAATCAAAAGCCAATAGTGATATACTCTCCTCCAACCACTTGTGTTTATCGTTAGTCAAAAAAATTCTACGTTGTCAGATGTCCACATAATCTGATAATTAATTCAAAAGTTTGATAGACTCTATTTCTATCTTGATATTGATATTGATATACTGATATTGATATACTGATATTGTCATATTGATATTGATATATTGATACTGATGTACTGATATTTTAAAAGCAATACGACATCATTACATTCAGTAATATAGTAATACACTAATATAGCAATTTGAATTACCTGATAACACGAGTGGTTTGAACGTTACTGTTGCACCGTTTATTAGGTCTATCAGCAGAATCTAATATTCCACTTAGGGCAACCCGGCGAAATACCCCTCCGTGCACCTCCTTCACATACGACATGAACTGCCGAAGATCGCAGTACAAAGTTAAATTTTCTTGAGACTTCAACTCTTTGATCGACTTCACAAAGCGTGTAACCAACGTCTTGAACACGCAATTGAAAATGTTGCCTTCTATACCCCTAGAGCTGTGAGTGCCAAGGCCGTAAGCTGCAGTTGCAGTCCCACCCGCCGTTCCGGCCATATTTCCCGAGGTCCCAGTCACATTCGAACCGCCTGTACCTCCAGACATGGTTGCTCCCATTAAATTAGCGCCAAAATTCGTCGCGTATCCCTGCGTTCCCATATCTGGTGACTTACTGGACCCTCGTTTCTGATCTGTTGCAAAAATATTCACGAAAACGTTGTTCAAACTGAAATTTGTGAATGGAAAAGCAGCTGCGATGCGGTTAAGAGTTCAATGCTAACTGGCTTTATTATGGCGGCTGGTTTTGGAAAATAAATTTTGCGATTTTGACTTGACACATTGTCGATCGGGTATATTGTGTTCGTGAACATTGTTCAAATATTGAGAGAGTATTTAGTTTGAAAGAACAAGTAGATATTGCCATTTTGTTTATGTATATTGATGTGATGGTGAGAGAAAATGTATCGATGATATGAATGCATCTAAAGGATTAATAAAGAGGAATATATTAATGATAATATCTAAAGGATTAATAAAAATGAATCTATCAAAAGTGATATCTTAAGAATTAATTAAAAGGAATTTGTCAATGATGATACCTAAAGAACCAATAAAGATGAATTTGTCAAAAATGATATATAAAGAATTAATAAAGAAGAATATGTCGAATATGATACCTAAAGAATTAATAAAGAAGAACACATTAAAGATAAAACATAAAAAATTAATAAAAATGAATCTATCAAAAATAATGTTTTAACAATTAATCAAAAGGAATTAGTCAATGATTATATCTGAAGTATTAATGGAGATGAATGTGTCGAAAATAATTTCTAAAGAATTAATAAAGAAAAACATGTCAAAGATATTACCTCAAAAATTCATAAAGAGGAATCAATCAAAAACGATATCTAAAGAATTAATAAAGAAGAACATGTCAAAGATAGTACCTAGAGAATTAATAAAGAGGAACTTAGCAACTAAAGAGGACTCAAAAATGGTATCTGAAAGATGAATAAAAGGGACTCTATCGAAAGTGACACGTGCTTCATTATAAATGGTACAAAGAACATTTCAATTACTTAAATAAAAAATGACATATTTTGAGAACAACATTCAACTCGTCTAATAAAATAGCGTAAAAATATTGTGCTTCGTAATCATTTAACTTGATATGTTACTGTTCAAATTAACACGTTGACTGCCACGTCACCCATATATAGGTGACACTTGAGTATCTACACCGATTTAACATGTATATTCTTAACAATTTATTCACTTTGCTAACCGCAAATTCTCGCATTAATTACATGAATCTATGGAAAATAAATGTAACAAGATATTGTGCAAATATTTAAAAAAATTGGTTAAGAATTAAAACACTACTGGATGCAATTGAATATTACTTTAGTGTGGCAGTCAACGTGTTAAGTAAATATTGATGAAGATAAAATAAATACTATTTGAAAATTTTTAATAGGATATCTTACTTTGTCTAGGATACTTTTTTGATATCAAATCATCAGTTAGGTAAATACTATTTGAGAATGTCATATGGGAAATTCAGCTGTATCTAGCATAGTTTTTAGACATGATTATCAGTTAGGTACATACTTCCTAACTTGCTTGAACATTTCAAATAAGAAAGTTGTTCTACTTGAGATATCTCTTTGACATCAAATCATCAGTTAGGTACATACTTCCTAACTTGCTCGAGCATTTCAAATAAGAAAGTTACTCTACTTGAGATATCTCTTTGACATCAAATCATCAGTTAGGTAAATACTACTTGATGAAGATAAAATACTATTTGAAAATTTTTAATGAGAAATCCTGCTTTATCCAGGATACTTTTTTGACATCAAATTATCAGTTAAGTAAATTCCACTTGTGGGAAATTCTGCTGAAATATTTCCTTGACATAAGATCATCAATTAGGTACATACTTGAAGATTCCAAATAAAAAAGCTGTTCTTAACATATCCTTTTGACATAAAATTATTAGTTTCATAATTATCACGATCATCACAATTAACTATATTATATAGTTAATACAGTATGACTGCCACAATATATGGAATAAAGTTGTTTAACATGCCATGCAAACAAGAATATGAATTGACAAGCCTAACTGCATAAAATCCTTACCCTTTATTTCGTTATATTGTACTAATAAATCTTGAGTCTCCAACAATGGTAGAACTCAACTAAACTAACATCATAGAGTGCAATATTGTTGCTAAATATTTTAAAACATTAAACTCATATTAAAATAAACGTTTACCTTTAAGTATCATACTACTGAATTTTCAATAAGAGCCAAAAATGAAACAATGTTAAATACAATAATTATCTGTTTCTTAACTTAATTTACCTGCAGAAGTCTACAAGTGAAATCCATGCTTTTCAAAAATGCTACATCAGGACCGATGATAGAAATGAGTAGATTCGAAAGGTAAATACTTCGATCAAAATGATAATAAGATCGACAGTGTATTAAGTCAACTATAAACAGTAATTCATTCATAATTTGGCAATATAATGAAAGATCTGAAGCGAAGAAATATGCCGTGCCATTTTCCTTTCCCTCGATTTACTCACTAAGTGGAGATAATAACGAACTTGGATCCAAGCAGAATCCAACGAATGCGTGAAAGAACTCCAGAATCTCCGGTATCGGTTGTTCTCGCATCATCGATCGCAGGAATCGTGAAAACTGCTTCGAACTGGCACGATGAAGTTTGTTCAGGATTGTTTGTGCTTGAGAACGACAGAAATCTGCCTGTGCTCCACGTATGCCTTCTGAGCAACCGTGAGGACAACCCAGATGCTTCACAACTCTGACCACGCAGCTCATTAACAGGTTATGGGATGAAAATTTGTTCTTCTCTGGAGGATCTTGTCGGTACTCTTGCTCGTTTTCTGCGGAATCTTTCTTTTTAACGCCTTCTGGTTTGTCGACCACCGTTGTTGATTCTAGAGAAAGATTGATTATTGAATGCAAGTTCATTCATTGTTATTTGAATGCAAGAAGTGTGTGTTTGTCGAATATGGTCTCTTTTAGTTATTTGGAATAATTCGATTGTTAGAATAATTTAGTGTAAGGTAGTCATTTACTGTAATTATTACTGATATAACTGTAAGTAGAAATTGGTATAAATGTTATTACTAGATTGTGGTTGTTCATGTAAATGTATGTTTTTATAAAACGTTTTCTTACTTCAAATGGTTTGCAATATCAATTTAACTAACATGTTTTGTATTCTTTACGTAATTTAAACAATGTATTTTGTTATTGTTGCTTAACATAGACATATGTTATATACATATGTGTAGTACATATACACATATGTATATTTCTTTCAAGGTCTAATTTGAAGTAAAATAAAATTACAGACGTATATATTTCTGTCATTTTCATCAATATATAACAATTTATAATATTTCCAATATTTGTTAATACTCTTTAAAAACCATTAAGAATATTAGCATTAAAAATCTTTAAGAAACCACTAAAATTATTAAGACTATAAAGATTATTAAGATCATTAAGATTATTAAGATTATTAAGAGTATCAAGAGTATCAAAATTATTAAGATTATCAAGATTATTAAGATTATCAAGATTATCAAGAGTATCAAGAGTATCAGGAGTATCAAGATTATTAAGATTATTAAGATCGTTAAGATTATTAAGATTATCAAGATTATTAAGATTATTAAGATTATTAAGATTATTAAGATTATTAAGATTATTAAGATTATCGAGGTTATTAAGATTGTCGAGATTATTAAGATTATTAAGATTATTGAGATTATTACGATTATTAAGATTATTAAGGTTATTAAAATTTTTACAAAAATCGAAAATATTAAAAATACTAAAATTATTAGAGACATTAAAGAACGTTAACAAATAAGTATTTAAACATATCAAAAAATGTTTAAAAATATTAATTGATATTGTCTATAATAATTAATTAATGTCTCTAATAGTTTTAGTATTTTTAATATTTCTGATTTTTGTAAAAATTTTAATAATCTTAATAATCTTAATAATCTTGATAATCTTAATAACCTTGATAATCTTAATAATCTTGATAATCTTAATAATCTTAATAATCTTGATAATCTTAATAATCTTAATAATCTTGATAATCTTAATAATATTCTTAATGGTTCTAGTAGTTTTAATAGGTTCAGTAGTTTCACTACTTTAATACTACTACTTTTGCATTTACTATTATTTATTATAAAAAATACTTATTTACCTGCTATACTGCCCATAATTTCTTCACGAAGACACTGTTTCATTACTCCCATATCCATCAAAAGTTCCACCAAATTCAAAATATTTTCACACACACGTAACGTACAGCAGTTGTTGTCACGTAAAGCAACCGAATGTACAGCCTAATTAAAAATGAGGACAATGAAAATTGCAGTCAATGAGAAAATTATGTAGAATATATTAGTACGAAGCAACACTGCTCATATATCATGATAGAGAACATATTAGCGAAAAACCTCACTTTTAAGACCACTTGTAGGTCGATATCGCCTTCTTTGGTGATATAACTGGAGGATCCCGGCGCTTCCGGTATTTCATCGCTAGCATAAGTGATGTTAGAATCTGTTTGTGATCTTGTAAGGCTTGGTTTCCTTTCCGAATCTAAACGGCTGCCGTGCATGCTAATAATGTCTAATTGACTGTCGATGGAACCCTATAAAAACACCATATTAAATAGGAAACAAGAAGAAGCATGTTTAATTAAAATTGAATTTAATTTCATTAAAATTGAATGACAAGACCAACCCTAAAGGACAACGTGAAGGATAACAAATCGATTCAAAACCTGCTGCAGTACCTTAAAGTGACTACACAGTACAAACTGTAAATATGTATACTCTGAGTCGCTAATAATCCATGAATGGCTGATGGGACTATAAATAAATATAGTTCAAAGTATTCAAATGTTTCTAAAACATTTTCCAATTCAATACATCGCCAATTTTAACAAGACTTATACAGTCCCCAGCCATCAAAAGGCCAAAGACGGTGAAAAATGCTGAAAGTTCGTAGTGGTAATTCAATAGCTAGGGACTGATCCCGATCGTCAATATAACGAAAGTTTCACGCAATATAAAGTTGGTAGACTTCATTGAAATTCGTACCTGCCGTTTCATGAAGTCTGGTGATGGAGCAGGCGTGTGTTCCGTAACGGTGATGATGGGGTTCGGGGCCGTGTACGATTGACTATAAAATCGACTTTGTTTCCGCTCGATACGGGTATCACCAACGTACCTACGAGTTAAGATTAATCAGAAGTCCGACACGATAGGTATTTGCATCAATACTCCTCATGCCATTTGCCACTGTGAATCCTAGCCAAGCACTACGGTCTGATCTCTAGGGTTTTTATCTACTTTGGTGCGTATGCCATTCCACGTTGCATGCTAGATCCCTTAACGAGATTTTACTACGTTATCCCAAATTTGGTACTGATAAGCTTCATCGGTACATGTAATAATATTTACATGGAAATACAAGACGATTCATAAGCTTCAGGAAACACAAAAATATTGATAAAAAGTTGATAGACAAGAGGCATAAAAATGTCAAATTAAAACTGCACAAAAATAAATGTAACATAGATGACCTTGACTTTGACCTTGATATATGTTGTCAAGGTTACTTTTGCAAATAGGGCCTTTAGAAGATTTTAACTGTTGCTGGTCATTTGTTAAAAAGTTATATAAGAAATAAAATTATGGTAACAAGACTCGATGAAGGTCTTGGATTACTAAGGGCATGAAATAATCCACCGTATACAGTGAAATAAGCCACATTAGGATATTATTAAAAAAAAAAAGAAAAAACATAAAGTTAATATTAAAAATAGGTTAGGTTAATAGATTACGTTAGGTTAAGATCGAATTACAGTTCAGTCAAGTCTAGGTACTAACCTATTAAGTTTAGTTTAGGATTTGCACATGGGTTGATAAAGGTTATTATTAAGTCGGAGTTTGGTTAGTATAAGATTATTAGCTACTATGTTTTTACTGTGCTATAATTCGTATTATAATAAATATTCCATTACATTAAAAATTTAATTTTTCATAACTTTGTAATTAACAATGGCAACGACAATTTTTAAAGGGCATTTAGAATAACCTTGAAAATATATGTCATGGTAAACTGTATATCTGTGCAGTTTTTGCAAAAGCTTTTAAGAGCATCTCTTATGTTTAACCTTGCCATAAAATCACAGTCATTCTTGTATATAGAATATTTCAGTAATTCACCACTGTTTAGTGCCTGTTTAACTTCTGGTATCTATGGTTTCCACCATAGTAAAAAATGTGAGCATATTCGAAATGGACAGGAGATAGTTAGAAAAGTGAGGGACGATAAGAAAGCGGGCTTAAGTGAATCAGTTGCGTTTGCAAAGTGGATGGTGAACGTATTATAAGCCAGACGTCATATCACTCCTGAGATAAATTATTTAACAACTCCGTTTCTCCTAAATAAAAGCTTTCTAAAATTACAGAACAAATTTAGATTGATAGTTCAATGCATTTGTTTTTAATACCACTTTAAAGATGAACTACAACTTTGATAGCGTTGCTGAAAGAGTTTTTGAAAATTGGTATTTTTTTTACTGAGAAATGTCATAACATATTTACATTAATTTCATTTCACATGAAGATAATTACATTTTGACAAATTTCATTTTGGTTACACGAAATTAATTTCACTTGTGCATCAAGTACCGACCACTTTCTTCAAATATCATTCTAAAATTTATATTTGCTTTTTTATTTGAGAACTATTTAAACGTGATGAGATTTTTAATTCAAAACATAGCAGTTTAGACAAAAATTAATCCTAAATGTGTGGAAACAATTTATTTGTTCACAGAATTACTATTTTACTATAGCACTTCGCACATGCATGGTAAATGTATAATCACTAACAAATTTAAATTATAAATAAATTCTGTATTATAAATAAGTAAAATGACATTGCATACTACATGGAGATATGCTTGATAAAATCTACAGTTTAAAAGTTCATATGACTGTTGTAAATAATGATAGATCGTTATGTTTACGTTTATATGTGTGAATGCAATGTTTTTTATTTTTTAGAAAGTTTTCAAGATGGCAATCTTTTTAAGATAAATGTGCTCTTGCAGTTTGATCTTTAATTTTTATTATAGCGCTGTTATCTCAAAAATATACATTGAATATGCAGGTGGTAACATGTATTATGTACTAGTGTGTCATTTTTTAATACAATGACCTCAATTTTATTTATATATGCATCATATTTTTTTAAGTCGTAAATGTATTTTGAATAAAAGGAGTCTGTCATTGTTTTTCAAGAATAAATTCTAGCTTTTGATATGTGACATTTCAAAAATAACCTATAACCACCTCAGGAGTGACATTAAAGCAAAATGGCGAGTGAATAGTCGGTAGACTGTAAAGCAGACTATGAAGCAAACTAGAGTATCTCTTGAGCGATGAATAAGCGGATAGGAACGGATTATGAGCATTTCAATTCATGATTCATATCACGAGTGGTATTAAAATCTCCTATTATATTCGCTCCTTATCCATTTTCGATACCCTCATATGTTCGCTCCATTTCTAATAGGTGGAAATATGGTTCTAATTATTTTCATTTGATACAGTAGGTAATGTATTGCTTATATTTATTTCAATTTTACTAATTTTATTGACATTTGCATTTTTATTATACTTTAAGTTTTTTAAGGCCTATATAATATGTTAAGGTATTTGTAGTATTGAATCATGATACATTTTGTACATTCTGGAATGATTTTATTAACCAGTTAAGTGTGTTTGACGACTATATCCGTCATGGAGATGTGGCAGAATTTTGTATCATGTAGAAAAATTTAAATTGTAATTTTGGCGGAAACTAAATTATAACTAATTAAACTAAATTAAATTGTAATATGTTTAAAATGTTAAGAGGTCAACACGAAATGAAATAAACAAATAAAATGTGTAAATGATTTGAAATGGATTTATAAATTCTTGAGAGCTAACTCGTCATCGTTTGATTATCGCGACACACACTGGTGCGTACTTTGCAAAAAGATCGCCACAGTCAACTGTTTAATATGATTTATTATGAGATTAATGCAAAATGAAAATGACTGTAATTTTGAAGCAAATGCAAATGGTTCACATGTTCATTTGAACTGTCTTTTATTGCCTTTGTTTTACCAAGCTTGTCTTTGTTATTGCAGTGGAGTCTACATGTTATGAATCACCTTGTACATGGTTCTTTTAAAAAATACAATATTTAAATTGCAACATAAATTATGATACAAAGATAGAAACAATCTTTCTTTCAAAGCTAAATTAAATATACAGATCACAAGTTTCTTTTTAAATAGCAGCTTCTGCGTTAATAAATTTGACTTTTGACAAAAAATTTAATACGTTGATCGTGAATTAAATGTTTGGTAATTATTTAATGAAACGAAATTTGCTGTCAATTTTTTAAGAAGAAAATTATATTTTTGTGAGTGGATGAATGCTTGTATTTTATATTATTACACAGTTCGTCACAAATTATTTCTAATGCATAAAATATTTAATGAACTTAATCAAAAATTGAATTTTTTATTAGATGAAGAAATCCGTTAAGGAATTTATGATATTCATTTATCGATACATTAAAATTGTTCATTGTTTTCTTATATTGTACCATGAATTACATCGCAACTTATATTATTATTAAAAAAACAAAATTTTGTAACATCGAAGAACGCATTGAAATATTTGTATTATCAAAAGGATAAATCTTTGACAGTATATCGAAGTTTACAGTTTCCCAATATAACTTGTTTTATATTAACTGCATTTTGATAAATTACATTAAGAAGAAAATAAATTTTACATTGACTTTTCATTGGTCGCTTCAAATTAGTACAATAATGATAAACGAGCAACAGAAATCTTAATTTTCAATGTATTGTTAAATAATTTGAGAGTACACTTGAATTTTTATTTAAATATTTGAAAAAACTTTATTTTAACATTTAGCGAAAGCAACAGACTATGCTAAGTGACCAAAAAATGAAATAAACAAATAATAGCATAAGAAATAATTAAATCTTCCTTTATTAATCCAACTTTGTTAAATGAACGATCATCAAATTAATTGCATAATAAATTTTTAACGTGTTTATAGAAATCGTGAATTCCATGGTGTGAATGAGAATTGAAATAATTATTAAATTATTGAAACGATACTTATTAAAATAAATGACACAATATAAATTGTCAATTAACAATAACGTATGACGAGAATTTTACAAAATTTATAATAAACAATTTTATAATAATTAATTTCAAAACTAAATAATTTTAATTGTTGAACGTACCAAACCAAATAACTATTAAGTTGTCAATTTTTTTCTTTTATTTTTTATTTTCGTTCGATTTTATCTAATCTTTCATTTGAAAAGTTCTACTAGAAAATATAATTAAATTTTCGTAACCTTCCACATATCAATATATATCACTTTTACTACAGAATTTAATAATTTCACACTTTGAAATTGAAAGTTAATGTTTTTGCTATGAACTATAATTTGGGAGCAACGTTTCGCGTCTGTCATTTATCAGATCACTGCCTGATAACATGCATAACTGTAAGAAGGATAAAATCACTTCTATGCAACTGATTGTTCACACACGACTTGAAAATGGCATTGTTATGAACCGTAGGCAAACGTAAGTACCAGAAAATGATAAAAATTAAAGCTTGCAGGATCATGGGTATATTTCTTACGGGATAGCATTATAAATCACAAATACTTTCTGTGCATTTCGTTGTACAATATTATGCAAATTTTTCAGATATTATGGACTCTCCATTGGTAATTTTCCTCGTCATAAAAATCACCTTGGGAAATGTTAAACAGAAAATTATGTCACTGAATATGTGTATGTACAAGTTATAGCACAGGGTGGTTAATTAACCTTAGCATCTTACATCTCTTTTACTTTTGGTGACGACAAGATCCTCGAGTCGACATAAACTATTTGGTTGTGCATAAATTATCTGAAAATGAATTCGCAAGAAATTGCAAGAAATGCAGCTGAGTCTGCTTCCTTTCGAGAAAATGCGGTAAGCTTCAATTTTACGAATGATGGACGATCAGGAAATTTTCATACGTCAAAATTTTGTTATAATGTCACGTTGCACATAAACCGACAAAGTTACAATAAAAAAACCAGCACACAAATATTTTTTAA